CTGCCCCACTGGGGTGTGTTTGCTCAGCAGTCACCGTCCCTCAGTCACTCTAGAGTTGCTTCAGAAGCCGATTTACACACAGTGCAAATACAAAAAGTGAGCTTGCTCCGAAGTTTGAGTTCTTATCCTAAATTGGTGCGTTTGTGGGGTTTTTCGTAGTGTTGGACTAGTTTTTTGTTGTTTTAATGCGGTTAGTTTTCATAGCTAAGCACCACTTTCAATGTTTAGTTCTGGCTGTTGATTTCCAAATCCCTTTTCACGAGAATTAATCCTGTCTCTTAATTCCCCAGTGTTTGTTACGTTTTAGCCATGTTAAGATCTTCCTCCGGCTGATCTTGCCGTGAGGAGAGCCAAGATTGTGTCAGGGTGAGCCGAGTCCTCTCTCCAGCCCAGACTCGGGCAGAGAGGGAAGGTTGGGTCCCTGACAGGACTGGCACCGGCACTGCTGGCCACACACACCCAGCACACCCTGCCACCCCGGGGGGCTTTTTGCACCACGTGAAGGTCCTTCTGGAGATCCCGTGACATGAGGAGAGCCCAAAGGCAATGCCAAGGACTGAGCCGCAGGAGTTGGAAGAGGCAGAGGGTGCAGAAGGTGAGAAGGAGCAGGGCTGGATGAGCAGAGGGTGCCGGGTTTGGGCACATGGCTGAAGCCAGTGATCGCCTTTGGCGCCAGTGACATCGGTCGAAATCAAGAGCCCAAAGACCGAGGAGATCACAAGTAATCTCACCCCAGTTTTGGAAGCTCTTTAAAGCCAAGAACCATTTCTTTATTTTAAGAAAGATATATTGGTTGATGCTTCTTTGGGCTTGGACATGCTGACAGGGTCTCTTGAGAGAGGAGATGAACGGTTTTTTCTGCAGTTCCTCCCAGCTGGCTCTGGTGAAGCTCGGCCAGCCCCAGGGAGCCCGTGCAATGGCCTCACTGCCGGTCACTTCCTCAGTGTTTCATCCAAAGGGCCTCAAAACACAGATCTGTTCAACCTCACAACACCCAACATCCCTCTTACAGGTGCAGAAATGGTGCCCAAGGTGAAAGAGAACAGAGAGCAGGGACTCTGGTCTCCACACGCCCCATCTGGCTCTAAACCCTCCCCGTTATTGCCGGCACCCTACAGGGGAGGAATTGTGAGATGATGATGGCATCGAGCAGTGACACCAGCCGTGGAGGGTTTCCCAAATTTTGACCGGGAAGGAGACCCCGGTGCCATGAGAGCCAGCACCATGTCGCGTTGCTGCTGCTGCCCGCAGCTGGAGTCGTTCCTGCGAGGAGCGGATGTCCTCTGCCTGGTGGGGCCGGGGTGCAGAGCCAGCCCCAGCTGGGTCAGACAAAGAACCGTGCTGCAGAGAAGCAGCTGCCTGCCCTGGCGCTGCCGCTGAACACGGCCTGTCTGTACATCCCCAGTGATTTATTTTTTTTTTCACATCGGTTGTCACCCCTTAGTTTTCACATCTGTGCTGCTATGGTTACCAAGAGCCTGAAAGGTTTTAAATCTCCCTCAGAGCAATGGAGGATTTCTGGGGTAATCTTGTTAAGAGATGAGCAATGAATATTTCCAAAGGCCTTCTGCATGAATATCTCTCTCTGTATTAGCTTATGGCCTCTGACAGCAGGGAAAGGGAAGTGCGGGGGCACTGTGTGCAAGGAAGGGAAGAAACCAGAGAAGAATGAGCACAGCAACTTGTTTCCCCCTTTCGTGCCCAGAACGATGTACCTAAAAACTGTATTTTTTGAGGAAGACTTGGCCAGATGGCATGGGTCAGGTTAAAAAAAAAAAATAAAAAAACCTCAGGCCTGCATTTCCCCCAGGGAAAGACTCCTGGGACCTTTATGAGCACTTGGAGATGGAGATGCTGGTGGCTGAGTCCGACAGAGAAGCGCCACGTCCCGGGAGCTGCGTGTCGGACTGTGGGGACCTGCCGGGATGGGGAACGGAGCCGAGATGGCTCTTGGCTACATCAGGAGGGACCAGGATTGAGCCCCTGTGGGGTTTGGTAACTCGGGTGGAATGTGCACCAAGGGCCCGAAGCCTCTGCCAGCGCTGAGCTGGAGTGTGGCCAGGGGGAGAGGGGACCGTGATGCCCCTGCCTGCAGGGGAGCAGGGAGGGAGAAGAGCCCCGGGCTGCTGGCAGGGACGAGTGCAGGCAGCGGAGGAAGGACAAGGAAGAAGGGATGGCAGCAGTGATGGGCAGGAGCTGGGGGTGGGTTTGGGGCAGGTGGACCCCCCCACACCCGATGCTGACAGGCGCAGGTCTTGGTGCACAGGCGCTTTGGGAGCCTGCGAGAAGAGGATTCTTGGTCATCCTTACCCAAAGCCAACCCTCGGCAGGGCCAACGGCCGCGGAGCAGTGGGATCGCCTGGGTATGGGATCCCAGCCCGTGCCAGGGCACAGGCTGAGCTGCGAGCTGAGCTTGGAACGCTGACCAGCCCCTGCCTGAGGGCTGCCTTGGGCAGTCAGGAGAGGGCAGCCTGGGGTAAGACAGTGGAAAATGGCATCTGCAAGCTGCTTCCCACCATGTGCAGGTGGAGGAGAGCTGGGGAGCAGCAGGGGATGGATGGAAGGCAAAGGGAGGAGGGCAGAGAGGGAGCTGGGCCCCCAACCGCTGGAAAAAGCCAGCAGCACTTAGTACGGGAGAGACCCTGGGCCCTGCACGAGTAACATGCTCCCTTCCCACAGCCGTTTGCAGCCGAGGATGTTGGACGTGGTGATGCCTGTTGTGTTGCTGAACCAGCCCATGTCCAGGGAGGACGGAGCTGATCTGCTGGCACCTGTGAGCTGAGCTCTCCCAAACAAAGGTCCTAACGTTTTGCCAGGTTTTGTGGCTTCTTTTACAAACATTCGTTTTTATTTCACTAACAAGCTCAAGGCTTGTTCAGTGGCCTAAAACAACTGTGAGGGGGAGCCCAAACAAGCACGCAGACCTTTCCCACCGGCCGAGTGCTCCCCAGCTCTGGCCACGGCTCTGCTGCAGCACGGAGATGCACTTCAGTAAAGCAATCTGCAG